CCTCCCCCTCCCCCCCCCCCCCCCCCCCAACCCCCGCCCCGTCACACGGACTATGCAGCTCAGCCTTGATGTCCACGTACTTCTCCCCCTCCCTCTACCTATCACATCCCGGTGGACGTGCGACGACGAGACGCTCGTCCTCGTCGTAGCTATGTCTTGGGACCCGAGGCTGCTACTAATGTTAACGCGAGGAGCTATCGGAGAAAGTTGTTACGAACGTTATTGGCGCGCTGAGCTTCGGCCGCTTCGCTTTTTCATTTCTATTTATTTATTTATTTATTTTTGTAATCCAACACACGAGTCGTATCCTCTTCTGACATTCATATTCCTGTTCTTTTCAATCATTATCCGTTATTAAGATCGAGAGTCCGTTATATTGAGATGCGCAATGAGCAATCGTTGATGGCGGCGGCGACAGAGAGGGGAGAATTTTTGCGACATTGGGAGGTGGGAGGGGATAGAAATATACTTCCTCGAACAATGGCCGTAAGTTTTGCGCATCTGCCGCTCGAACGTCACATCATTTCCCGGCAAAATAATCGCCGCCGTTTCGTTTCGAGCTTATTGATAAATTATATCCAGATTTTGTAGGCAAAACTTCACCGATTCCTCTCTATCGAGTGGACAACTAGTTGACTTTGCATTGGACAGGGGAATAAATAAAATTATTCTAACGAATTGATCTCACTTTTCATCGATTCATTTCATTGATCTCAAAACGAAAGATCGTATGCTGTAGAGTAAGTAAGTAAGATGGTAATTTTGACAAAAATTTAAGAGTACGATAATCTGAAATTATTTTTACAATATTCTTACAATGTATTTGTTTGTTTGTTCGTTCGTTTATTTAATAGTTTTGACATGGAGATTTTCCTTCGATTTTCAACAATTAAAATAATTCTCTTTCACGCAGGTATTTATAAAATATAATGCAACGATAGAAATGCATTGAACATCCGTTGAGATTTGCTTGATTATTTCTTCTAATTAACGGACTATCGGTCACTTTAGCGCGAAAATGCCAATATATTATGTCTTGCTTATGATAAAAGAAGAAAAAAAATGAAGGTATCGATAGCTAATAAATTTCATCGTTTTGTCTGATAATCAATAAAACTTAAGGATGCAAAAAACGCTTAGTGCGAATATAAGATATAGCGTTAAGGCATTATAATTTTATGGAAAATCAATTGAAAGAGCGAATATATTAATTATACAATTTGAGTGTGTATGAGGCAGTAATAGGAATAAAATAATTAACACGTAAAATTAGTACATTGTATATTTAAGGGGATGAAAAGGGGATAGTTACATTCGTAAGTTTATCTAAAATTAATTAAGGCAAATAGTATTAATGATAATTAGATGTTGAACACATAGGCACGTATTGTATTTTTATACTGACGTGTATGTGACGCGAAGTCCCAGGTCAAGAATTATATCTTATTCTTAAAATGTGGGATACGCAATGTATACTTTACGGGTATTGTAAAATAAGAGTGTTTGTATGTTTGTCAAATATTACATACCTTTAATGAAATTATTGATAATATCCTGTGCTTGTTATCGTACGAGACATTTTGTAATGAATCATAAAAAGTTGATACTCAACGTAGCGTTGAGTACATAGCAAAATGATTATTGTTGCTTACGCGATTAGGCATAGTTGTCTTTATTCGTTTTTTAAGAGATACCAATGAGGTAATCGAGAATTATGTCAGTATTAGCTTTATATTCGTGGTGAGATTATTGGACAATTCATGGCATTTAATTGTAAAAATGTATATCGTTAAAAATTTATATTTTACTATTCTTTAGCTTGATAATATGAAAGAAAGTCATATTAATTTCTATAACATAGCAATATATATATATATTAGTTTTGTATTATTACATTTACCGCGTTAAATACAATTACTTATATTGACTTACGCGTTTATTTGCAATTAAAAAAACATTTTCAAGCAATTGAAAATTGGAATGCAAGTACAAACTGAACGATTCATACGACGATTATCCTTTTCATACAGATAGAGCGATTGCCAAATGATAAAATTATAATACAAAGTATAATACAAGTGAAATGTGTTACGCTGGCGTATAATACACATAATTTTACACGTGTACGCATGCTCGTGTATACTTATCTTTATTAGATAATAAGTCTCTTATAAAATAAGTGATAACATAAAAACCCCAAAATGTGTATATAATCGATAAGTTAAGTAATAAATGAAACTTGCGTTTCATTTTGTCATACAGATTTTGATTATTTTTTTGTATGGCCTAACCAAGCTCATTTAAGGCATTGACTTCATTGAAAGAGTACTTTCACCAAAAGTTTTTGTAGCCCATTCATTTTACTTCCTTTTTCGGTTTCATCGCTGGCTACAACAACCGTGCAAATCCAGGCCGCCACAATTTCTCTCATTATCGAAATGAGAATTTAAGAATTTAAAAACTACTTTCAAATTTTAATGGATTATTTATTATTTATTATTTTTCATCGCTTTGCTCTTTACTTTTATACCATAAATCTATTAAAGCTTATTTATTAGAACTAAAAATTTTATTCGTCGATAGTACAACGATATGCACTTATATTATTATAAAACTCTATCGGTAACTTTCAGATAAAATATGCTCTTTTTTTTTATACTAATACTATTATACATTAATATTTATATGATATTCTTAAATTCTCAAAAGGTGAAAAGGTAGTAGATACAAAAAAAAAAAAAAAAAAAAAAAGGAAGAAAAAAAAAAAAAAAAAAAAAAAAAAAAAAATAAGGGAAAATGCACATAAACTGCAATGATACATATTTATAATTAAATAATGCAAATCAATTCTTTCGTTAAGAAAGTTTGTTTGTTTGTTTTTTTTTTTTTTTTTTTTTTTTTTTTTTTTTTTATAGCAAAATTATATTATATTACAAATTTAAATATTGTAAAATTCGATAAAAATTAAATAAAAATTAAAAAATTGTTAATGTTCCCAATCGTTAGTAAGTTATTATTATATATAATAAAGTCGACTCTTTGATTGTTTGATACAAGTTAAAAAATTATCAAATTATAAAACAAAAATGTGTATCATGAGCAAACTCTTGTATATTCATTGATATGAGATAAAAATTCAATTCATTCGCTTATCATCCTCTTCAAAGGATATAATTTTGAAAGAGTTTATTGTAAAAATTATAATCCATGGCTCCCCCCCCCCAATGACAACTGAATAACGATATAACAATTATCTGCTCAAATATTGTTTGAGCTCATATATTTCCATAAGCTCTAAAGAGACATTAAGATAAAGAATCGGCAACGTGCAAAAACAAAAAGAAAGCAACTATAATAATAATAATAATAATAATAATAATAATAATAATAATAATAATCTCATCCTAATACAAATTGATGCATATGTTAAAACAAAATTTATCGAATTTACTTTTTTGTAATGGCCTGGATAATTCAAGTCTACTGCTTAGACGATAATTAACATCGGTATTGTACCCTTTTTTTTCGTACGACAACTTATAATATTTATAAGAATAAATAAATAACGATAAAGTAGCAATTAATATATGCATAAGAAACGAATGGATCCATTTGATAATAAAATAAAATGGACTCATCCACTTTATGGAGACGCGAATACGCGTTTGCTCATTGTACGTGCACACAGGCCTAAATATAAAAACAAATTATAAAGAGATGGAAATTATGGGATAATAAAAGAATAAAGTGTTTCGCTTATATGATGCTATACACTACCGAATAAGTATGTTAATGTTAAAATCTGAAAATTCGACATTTCTTACAATTAACGCTGTACGCTAATTATAAACCATAATATTGAGAATTTATCGACTACTTACATCATCTTAAGGTCAATTATAAAAATATAATGATTATTAAAATTCGTTATTATGAACCCTATGGAAATGGATTCTCAACTTAATTCACAATGATTAGTCAATGTTGATTTCAATGTTTTATTTGTTTTATTACAGTCGGAGATGGATATTGCTTATTGTCATTAAAATATAATTCAATATGTAATAATTAACGGAAACCTCTAATGCACTGAATCTAAAAAATATGATGTGAGTGCACTTAAAATTCTATGAACTCTAAATAACTTAAGATGAAACTAATATTCGAATAAAATTTGAAATAATAAAGCAATTAAATAAGTTAAATAAGACACTTTTTTACTTATTATGGGCTAGTAGGCGTTTAAATTATCGTGAATCATATAACAAAATTCTTTATTGATTCTATATACTATTAATATTCTACAAATTATCAACTGCAATTTTATAAATAAGCCATGCAGTACATAAACCCCAAATAACGATCTATTAATTACTGTATGTATATCGAAGTTCAAATTTAGTTGAAGAAATCTATCAGGATGCGAATAATTAAATTAAAATGAAAAAATGTTAGTTTTAGAAAGCTTGTTAATTTCAGTAATAAACTTTTATTTTTATACAAGAATTACAGCTCCGAGCTCAACCCCATAATAGTATGAACAAGAATAGAATGACCTGTAAATAAACTTAACAGGCTTCAACGAAATTAGCTCCTTCGTTTCTGAGTTATTGTACTAGTCATTAAAAAATAAATTATTCTAACAGAACGCGCAATCTATCTAATTCTACCTAAGATTTCTCACTGAGAATATTTTAATTAAATGTACGAATCCTAGATCTACGTATTCTACCATAAAATGTCGTCTTGCATAAATAATTCGGCTTAAAGTATCCTAGGTGATTTGATTATCTTGTGTATTTGATTATCGTGTAAATATTGATTATTATTAGCCCAAATGTCATTCGTGTTAAATATTGAAAGATTATGAGCAATTTTTCCATCAACTCGAAAGCGACATTAAAATTTTGTT